AAAGATACACTGGCTGGTGTGCTCACAAATTGCTGACAATAAACGGGGAGCTGTTTATCAGCTGTAGCAGTGCTGCAGGTATCACTGAGAAAACACAAACGAGAGGGTTGCACTCAGTGCTTCAGGCTAGCAAGCAGGTATTCTTTCACAAATCACGCCCTATTTTCTTGTCTCCAGGAAAATTTGTACAACACTTCAGGAATTTTTCATCTGGAAAGATGCAATACGTTTAAGAAACCGAAGACAACTCTTTTCCAGCTACTGCATCACCAAATAGCTAATCTACTGGTACCTGCTAAAAACCAAAAAGCTGCCTGTAATGTAAGGTCAGCCTATAATGATTTCTAACCAGGGATATAAGAACCCAGACCCTAGGGCAGTTACAACCTGCAGTAGCTGTTACTCTGGTTATTTCAAACACAATGAATTGCAGTGAATTTAAACAGATTCGTGTTGACTGACATCCCACATAATGCTCTAAAGACCTATTGGGAAATGCTTTTACAGCAGTTATGTTGATGGCACATCTCACAGGAGCAAAGAAGGCACTACAAATCTGGCCTCCAGAAGGAGTCGGCACAATTTGTTTAACAAAAGCGCAGCGATATAAGCCATTGTTCAGTACTGAGACACGAGGTGTCACAGAACAGAGCACTGCAGCATCGAGCCTGTACGCAACAGATTGACCCTAAGTGTGTATGGCGAGCTCACATAGGTTTTATGCCCTCTATGTAGCAAAAGAGAAAGTGTTTCTTAAGAACAGGATTCACAAAACCCAACCAGCCAAAGAGAAAATCAACTAAATTAACCAGTATCAATATTGAGAAAATGGCATTACCTATTAACTTTTGAATCGTCCTGAAAGCTTCTGATATTCAATGCTTACAACTCAGAGTCTTTACTCCTCTCCACCCCAATCCTCCTCAAATCTGCTGAGTCCTTTCACTAATCAGCCTTTACTCTTGTTGCTCCTGGGAGAGCCAACTTGTCTTCTGATAAAGACAATTTTCTTACTATGCTGTAGGGCATTCTAAGCTAGAAATCCTCTATACTTTATTGCCGAAGCTGTTCCACATAAACAAATTAGGTAGGCACAGGAGAGACAAAAGAGTAAGACATTATGAATCAGTATTCTACTCATGAGGGTGTTCATTTCTAAGGAGGAAGACTTAAAATCTAGCCTGTCTTTCAGTCAATGCTTGACAGAAGATACTTAGGAGAAAATGAAAAATAAAAATTAAATCTCTCACCTTCAAGATGACAGATCTAATTGTAGGACAGACTTATCCTCACTTTGTCTCTGGCAAAACGAATATCCCATAGAATGTAGAACAGCACCATGAGAGAAGGTTTTTCTTGCATTAAGTACTATCTGTACCTGGGTTCTTCACAGAGGAAGATACAGGCTCAATTGAAGGAAAGGATGAAATCTAGGTGTCACACCTGGTTGGATCACTGAACACATATGTGGGGGAGCTTCACAACATACCCCTTCTAGAGTCCTTGACAGGGTATTTTATGCTTTACATTATATTTAGGATGCTGTAATAGTGGAAACATAAGAGTCCATGAAACTTCATGGAGTTGACCTTTTAGCACCTATATTCTGTACTGTTGCACTTAAAGTGGCAGTTGTGCTCTACAGGTTCCTTAACAGGGTGTTTACTTCTACTAAAGCCAGTGTAAAATTCAGAAACTGTCGAAAGGGCTTGTTTGCATTCACAGTATTATTTACTCTTTAAATATTATGAAGATTTGCATGGAACCTTGTTTGCTTATAGCATGCTTGACATTTCTTCCTGGAAAACTGGATTTATGCTCCAGTATCTCCACACTCACAGAATCAAACAAGCATATGTGTACATGTAGATAACCACGTACACAAGTTGACAAAGACATGCATACAAACACATGCACAGACTCACTGTTGACTATTGCTTGGTAGTATTTTGGCTAAATGTAATTCAAAATTTAATGCTGCTTTTAGAACAACATTCCAGGGATTCAGCTGTTCTGTTCAAACCTTCTTCTCAGCTGAAGAAGAGACAAAACACGGGCAGCTTTTTTTTATTGAATTAATTTGATTTTTGTCTTTTGTCCTGCCAGCTATCAAAATTGTCAAATAAACCAGCTTTGATTCATAAATAATGGTTCCATTATATTTACTGTGCCACCGGTCAGAGTACCTGAAATTTTAATTCACTTGTTCAGCTAAATTTCATCCTCAGTTCACGGCCATAAAATTCTGTATTGACAAACTTTCAAACCAACTTTGACTCTGAGGTATCTAGTCAACATTTTTCTTCTGTGTGGATATTAGTTTATTGAATAAGTGGCATCTGTTTTCCTCCACATCACTAGTGGAGTAGGTATTTCCTTTTGACAGCTTTGCACGATTTATGGGTTTGCATGCTCTGAAGAAAAATAGTACTAAGCAAAAAATTCCAATTCATTACCTCTTAGTACTTAATTAAGTTCATACACATTGCACACTATAGGTGAACCCTGAAATGACTGTGACAGCCACTGAGCAGCAAGTTAGATTATTTTTGGAAGACAGACTTTTAATTATCTTGACCTCATTTTTCTATCTATGATATTAATAAATTTTCCTTCTATTTTGTTGCCTCCATCAGATGTACCAAACCATTCTGAAAACAAGATTATATCCTTAGCTATTTCCTTTTATCTTCACATTTAGGCATGAAATGTTTTTACAAATAGTGAAGTCAAGCAATAGTTTTTATCGGCTTACTTCACACAACTGCAGATAAATTATGTTGTACAGGCTCCTCCTAATAACGGTTTGGTTTTGGAAATGATAACAGCTTGATAAAAGAAGAAAGCAGTGGATCTGGCTATCAGTAGATACAGAAATAAAGAGAGCCTGGGCTTTACCTGTCAGGGTTCTGCGTACACACATGCATCTGTAAGAGGATCCGCTGGGTGAAAGTCTTAAAGCATTGCCCACATTTCCAAAGATGCCAGTCACTGAACTCAGAATTTAGTTGGCTTGTTGAAGTTGGGCTTGCAAGAACTCGTTGGTTTTTGACACTGATCTGGTTAAATCCTGACTCGATGGACCCAGACTTATCCAGGAGAGAAAAATTTCTGCTACACGGAGTCTGTGGAAATACTATGGATCGCTGTGGAGTGGCAGGGGATAGTTTGCTACTTTTATTAAATGGCTGTAGGGTGTCTTGTCTGGACATGGCCTCCATTACAGTCGAAGGGACATTCACTGGGAGAAAACAAGAAAAGTAAATAAGACCCTTTTTATGCCTTTTTAAAACTAATACAGTGTTGGACGACACCAAAAAAATACCAACATCCATGTTCTTGACACTAGAATTAAACAACTTTATTTTAACAATGCACAAAAAAAAACAAAACAAAAAAAAAATTAAAAAAAATGAGCTTGAATGAGACAGTGATCTGCATGTGTGATGCTGATTCTGTGACACGGAAATGAAAACTCATGGAAAGCAGTTTCCGAGACCAAAAGGACTCAGAGAAGCCTGACTGTGATATACATTTACTGCACAATGGGATTGTCATCTGAAAGAGAATGCTGCTGCACTTGTGATACCCTGACTCTGCACGTTGCAGTCAGCATGTCCAATCGCTATATCACAGACAAGCATGAATTTTGAGAGCATGGGTAAAAAAATCCTTGCTCGGACATTCCTTGAGATACAACAGGGTGTAAACGTCTACTGCAGCAATAGTTCCCTTATCCTCTTAAAGGGCACCCACCAAGGATATTGTACCATCACATCTCAGAAACAGTCACACAGCCAATACAGTACAAAGCCAGTGACTTCACCATTGATTGATATGATTCAGGCTTAGATCACCACAGGACAGTGCAAAATACAGGCAGAGGTATCTTTGTGCATCAATTTCCCACCTATGAAGTAGGAACAAAACCTGTTTCTAGTCCCATGAAAGTCTCCAGATATTTCAGCAACAAATGCAATATGTTGTTCTTAGAATGAACTGATTTAGTGCTGAATTTTGATGTTGCATCACAAGGAACGCAGGAGGTAAAACATGCAGAAGAAAGTTGAACAGCTGCCTCACTCCTTGAGTACCATCTAGATCATGCAGTGAATGAAGCAAGGGTCCTATGCAAAAATGGGGTCAGATAGTGAAAGATTGTACCACAATACAAAAAGAAGCATAATTTAAGCCACCTGGGCCAAGTAACTTCTTGTGCTTTCTAATTTTGGCATACTCAGCCTCAAGAGATAATATTTTAATGGGAATTTTTTAAGTAAATACGGTGTATGCATACGTCTATGTCTATGTATGTTCACACATTTAGTTATTATCACAAAATGTTTGTGTACATATATCCACAAGTAGGTACATAACACTTACTAAATAGGTGATTAGAAACTGCAACTCTGTTTAGGTAAGTCATGATGATAGATTTTTAAGAGCAAAGATGAGAATTAAATTTCAGTTGTAAACTGGCATCATCCAACATTATTAAATATTCAATAAAAAAGTAATGCAAACTGATCTTTCGGTAATACCTCAGATAATGCCACTTACTTCACAGAGTTATGTTTTAATATCTTACATCAATCATAATAACTCCCACACTATAATACTACATGTTATTTAATTTACTTAAGTTGGGGTCCTTCCTAGGCTATTCTGCTCTAGCGTATGTCAGACCCTGATTTTTAAGTAGTTACATCCATGGGCTGTCTATCACAAGTTTCCAGACATATGGTATATCTTCCATGTCTCTTCAGTACAAGGGGCAATTTGTATATTTTCATTTTCCCCCAACATTCTCACACAAGAAGCAGATTAATTTTTTTTTCATTGTATTCATAAAAATCCACAGAAGAAATAAGAACAGGATACTAAAGATATAAGGAATATAGGCAGCATTTCTACTGAGTGAAAATACCTCTGTGCGGAAATAAGCAGAATGTCTGCTCTGAGGGCTAAAGCAGCACTTAAGTCATATACCAGCCTGCAGCTGATTCCATGCTCAGAGATTAATTTAATCTACTCATGTCAGTCTCTCTGTGGATGAAACTATGGTTTCTCTCACAGCAAAATAGCAAGTGACAATATTTAGAGATTTTAGCCATAACGTGTTGCTTTTCAGCTAAAGGTTTTGTAGCTTCAACTCATGAAAGAAAAAATAATATTTCTATATTGCACACTGCAGAGCATGAGTTTTATCAGCAAACATTACTGCTAGTACTTAAATTTCTTTTAAACTTTTCTCAAGACCAACAGATTTGAAAACTCAAGATTAAAAAGGACGTTTATTTCTGACAGTTTAATCCCTGCTCTCTTGCTGTTTTATTGCTCCATGGTTTGGTATTTAAGTTGCTACAAGACACAAGTCCATGCTAGCATTGCTGTTTAAGTACCCAAGTACTTGACCAAGAATATACATCTTATAAGTAATTGATTAAGTGTAGGCAGCCACGGATTTACTTTAGACCAAAGTCAGTCAGGCATCTATTATTGGTTTCTTCCACCACCTAGACACACACAGCTATCAAAATGGAAGAGACGTCTTTGATGCAAGCTTTAAACAAGTTCCACACAGACTGAAACTGAAGGGCGTGCGTGGATCACCCGTTCCCATTACAGACAAAGGTATCCAGCACCAGATTGCACTAGGTCTGTATTTAACAAGTTAAATGCCTAATTTTCTGCTTGTTCTTAGCAAACTAAAAATAAAATATTAAGAAGGGGTAGAAAAATGGATGGAAATGGGGATGGCCAAGATGGAATGGAGTCATTTCATGCTACTTACATTCAGTTTATACTTAGAGAAGCTGGCTTTTACCTTTTAACCACAACAAACTCATCTTTACAGTCAGTCAGACAAAGCTTTTCTTGACACACTTAGTGGTAATAGAATGAAGAATCACTAACCTCATGGACCTGCAATGCATTACTGTTTTGGCAAGACAGTGTCTTGGGACAGGTCTCAAAACAATGGAGAGAGCCAAATTGATTAATAGAGCAGGAAACAGGAATGACTCACTTATAAGGGAGAGTGATTCTGTACGCTGACAAGCTATAAGGGGCAGCCATAGTGGGAAAACTGCTATTTAACTGCATATACCTGCACACTTCCAAACACCTCCTTTTATTTAGGTAACAATACTATGATTTTGCACAGCTGAAGTGTATCAGCTTCAGGACTTTATTTTGTACACATGCGGCTTACCTTAAACATATGACTGCTTTTATTTAAATTGTCATAAATACTCTAGGAATATAGCTGATGACATATGAAACAGGAATCCTGGCTTAAACAGGCAGAAATACAAGGAAGAACTTACAATTTTCATCTTGTGCAATGCACTGGAGAGGGATTCCAAAGAAAGATGTGTAGCTGTCATTGTACCACACCAACAGCTCAGTGCCCCTGGGGATATCTATACAAGCCCGGTAGAATATATTTGACCTAATAAAGATAAAAGAAAAAAAAAAAAAAGCCTAATTTAGGAATACAGCATTCTCCTCTTCTCATACACAGTACTACAGTAGAAATCCACTGTTTTAGAAACACTTCTGCAGATAACTGAAAGAATAACTTACTGATTATTTCAAAACCAAACCTATCATTAGGGGAGGACTTTGTTCCTGTAGCACGTGGTAACAACTCACAGGCACTTTTTACCTAGTGTATTTTAAAAAATAAGATCTTACAAGAACCAAGATTTTATGAAGAGAGGGATTTTCTTGCAATGTCCCTTTGAAAGTGATTTTTGAAATGGTAAGTTTTTCTCACACAGTACAAGCATCAGAGTGGTGCACACACTTCAGTAAGTTCAACCACTTAGACAGCTCTGCATTTGTCATTTAAGCTAAAGTTAACATATTTTAGGGGTATATAGACAACAGTTTTTTAGTTTAAATAAGTTCTTTTAGCAAGAGGTTTGAAGTATCGTGATGTGGCCTTTCATTACAACAATATACCACCAAAAGAGAAATTGCTCAGTAAAATAGACTTTGACTTAGGGAAAAAAATAAATGGAATTAATCTGAAAATACAACCATAAAATCTTACCCTGTATGGAACATGAGTGTAACATCTATGAACCTTCAGTAAATGTAAATTAATGCTACCATAAATGTGATATCCTATCACATTGTTCTGTGGGCAAAGTCTGCAGATATTCCTCGACTACTGAACTGGGGATTGAGCAGGAAAAAAAGAAAAATCCTGGAGTCTCTATCATGAAAACAAGAGCCTTGTCCTGATCTTGCACTGATGTAAATAGCTTCAGAGTGATACTTCTTTGGTTAACAGATTTACATGGGAGCAAAAACTGTGTAAGATTAGAATCAGTCACAAGATAAAATAAAATTGTTATCAGATTGTAGTGGCTTTTCCCTTAGCCTTCACATGGAAGAGTAAAACACACTTCTGTGAGATGGATAGAAATTCAATATATACAAGAAGAACACTCCACTCTCGCTGAAGGATTACACACCAAAATGATACAGTCAAAGTACCAAGAAATGACCATTTTTTATAACAGCTTATGTAAGGTAGAAAATATCTATAGACTGAAAAAAAATGTTAGGCCTCAACTGGTTTTCTGAGTGAAGAATTGCTACAAACGTTAGCTTGAAGTTCAAGATAAAAGTGTTTAGGGTTGGTAGGCCTTAAATTTAGACTTTCTATAAAGAATTGGCTGTAGCAATGCAATTTGTTCCTTGTATAACACTGCAGACATAAGGAGAATCTTTTACCACATTTTTCATGGCAGTGAGATATGCACTTGTCAACATATTTTGTCACTGCAAAGTGGCTCTTGGCAACAGGATCATAAAGATCAATAAAAAAGTGCAGATTCTCAATATTTTACTAGCAGCTGCAAAAATTTCATTTATCTTGTTATTTGCCTCGCTTACTGCCACCCTGTCTCAGGAGGGCACTGCTAGCTAAGCAGAATGGTTTTCTACCCTTCTATGAATACCTGACAAAAACTCTCCCCTTTGTGTCTCCCCAGTCCTTCCCTCCTCCACCTCCTCTCCCGTTCTCCCCCTCTTTCTTCCAAGAGCTGCATGTTTCATTAATTCTTTCCACTGTTACATAAAAATGAAAATCAGAGCCACACTATAAATTACCAGCATCTCCTAACTTGAGAAAAATTGAGTCTACTTTGTACTTCACCCTTGTAACATTTCATCTCTCAGTTTGGCTTCCCTTAACATAAACACAGCAGCCCAGCAAATGAATGTGTTAAAACCAAATGACACACTCTGCCGCTGAAAGAGCAGAACTGTTTTTGAGCAATGGGTGGTCTGTGAGGCTTGGAGTAGGCAGGGAAAAAAAAAAAGTGTAAGCGTATACCGTCCCTTACAAGTGTGCAGAGCTTCCAAAACTCGCAGAAATCTCTGCATGCTGAAGTACATCAAAGGGATTTTTCCCTTTTCGGATAATATTTCCTTTGCTGACATGTATTTAGTATTGTGGTTGGATGACTCATAAAGATAGCTTCATGGCGTCCCAACGCAGTTGAAGCAGAACACATGCCAACAAACATTATTGTCAGCCTCAAAATAAAAACAAAACGTTCAGCTAAGGGTCAATCAATCAAGAGCACTTTGAAGAAAATTCCATTTAGATATTACAAATCATAACAGAATGAATTTAAACCAGCTGACTTTCTGTGAGGAGGACGTCCATGTACAATAAAAATTAGGCCGGTTTTTCAGTGTCCAACTTTTCTATTTTCTTACACTTGAATGCAGTCACTGGTGATGGATGCCAGTTTTTTAAATTGTGTTTTTGTAGTTCATTTTATAAAGATCTGAAGTAATCGAAAACAGATCAGCAGAGGGAACTCTAAGTAAAAACTCCATCATGAAAGGAGAGTTGTAAAATCCACTTAATATTGACAGATGTGTAATGACTTTCTTATGCTAACTTTTCATTTAGGTTTGTCATCTATATATATGTATATAATTTTTATATATATATATATGTGTGTGTGTGCACACATCACCACACTGAGAAAGAGTTCACAAGGTATCTACAAAAATACTCTTTCATCACAGCAATCTTTATTCATTATCCAGTGTGTTTATTTAAATTCCAATGGGATTTTAGTTATAGATATGAGATATTTAAGAGCATAATAAAAGATTTGTAATGTATAAATAGGATCGTTATTTTCTTAACTGTGGCATTATTTAGTCAACTGGCCAGAGAATAAAAAGCTGAAAATGCTATTGAAGAATTTTACCATTGTTAAATTGGAACCCTATGGAATAATCAAACTTTATATATATTTCATTTTAGCTTGCTTTTGTATGTTTTATTTTTAATTTTAAAGGTACTTTAAATAAGTTTAAGATTCTTCCTAAAGAAAAGAAACTCCACTCCCTAAACCAATTAGTGAAAATCAGGGTTGCTCACTGCAACCAGTAAGACCAGGGCATTCTTTGATGTGCTTCCTACCACATTTAATAAGACCAACCCATTGCTCCTGATTCTGAGGCAAAAGGTTTGTTTACAGCTGAGATCATGTATTTATGTAATGCGCTGTCTGGGTTTTATGGATCTGTTTGCCAGCACAAAGTAAAATGCACTGTAATTTCTTTGCATTTTTCTTCACATTTTGACCTTCTCTAGCCAACAACATAAGAGGCATAAATACTAGCAATCTTGGCTAGCAAGTGCGCTCAACCTATAAGCTTTAGGTGTATATGTCTCATGACTGACTCTCTGAAAGCCCTTGGGCTCAAAACTCCTCTGCTGACACTTTTCCCTTTCCCCTAGCATATGCACCTTTGTTAAGGGCAGAAGATTGCTTGTGTTGGCTTGCTTCTGATCAGACCATATGAACACGTGAAGAGGGCTCTGTGCAGCATGTTGGTCACGTGAGGGGCACAAGGCTGAGCTTGTTCTCCAGGTCCAGTGGGGTTACCACAATGACCTCAGCTCAGGGCAACCAAGCTAAACTCATCCCCTCTAGACTCTGCAGCTTTTGTATTGCCCTGAATACGCACATTCACATAAAGCCCTACTACTGTCTTTGCAGTCAAAGGCAACAGAACTGGTGACAGTTACAGCCCAACTTTTCACTGAAAACATTATCATTTTGTTGCACTGAGTAAATCAAAAAGTACTTTACCTGTACTGAACCACCGTTAAGTTCTGTTCCCCGCAGTGCCTTGCACATCGGATATACCTCATCCAGCTTGACTTACTTGGTTCTCCACCATCAATAAAGTGCTGCAGTGTCCCATCTTGGTCATATATCTGGGGGAGATGTCACAAGGTCAAGTAGTTAGAACAAATCATCAGCAATAATCTTCACTGCTTTCCTGGTGTCTCTCTGTGCCATTTTCAGGGTTTTATTGCTATGAGATTTGTCATTGTGTACTGATGCTCTTAGAAATGTACATGGAACCGCAGAAAAGTATTTAGGGGATGCAAGTTTATCATGCTTCTTTTATCAAGCCAATCTTTTTGTATTAAACATATCTGTGGTGTCTCGAAGATATGACCATGTTTCCCAAAGAATATTTAACCTATTTTGACAGGCTGGTCTTAAATAATGAACTGCCAGATAAACAAGAAAATCTGGATGTAAAGCCCACATTGACATAGCTGGAACATCTGAGCATGGAGAAGTAGTAATCCCTAAACAAGTATCCCTTCCGTCACTTCTCAGTTGCAGCAAGAGCATGTACTTCAGCAACCTCACATGATACATCAGGGAGTTGTAGGATTTGTAATACCAAAACAAATGAGACTAGAAGGAAAAAGAGAGTTGAAGATGCCTTTTAGAAGCTCCCTTGAGACATATAATTTTTTGAAGTAGTAAATGAGAAATCACTCCTGAGGGAATCGTGGGTTTCCTAAACATGACATCCCTGCTAAGGACATGAGAGCCAGTTACGGTAATTAAAACCAAAAGACAGTATTATGTCTCTATTTGGCACTGGATGCTCCCTCTGAACTCAAAGAATAAAATTCCTCCGGAGGCTTCGAAGTAAAACTATATGTTTCATGCACACCTGCTCTTCTGGCTGCTTAAAAAATGTTATTGAGGAAGTGCTAATCCCAGTAAAAGTACACGGTCTCACAAGTTTTTTACCTGTTATGCAATTACTTTTTTAAACTTCAGAAATGCATCTGAATGACTAGTGCTTATTTGAAGTGACCCTGATTGTCAGATCTTTTGTTATCCACAGACAGCATCCACTGCAACAATCCTACACCAAAAATGTCATCCCTTTTAAAATTGTATGAGTCTAAACTGATGACTTCTTCAAAGCACTAATTCTGCTAATCAAAGAGGAAGCCTATTTATTAAGTTGAATTGAACATTTCTAGAGCAAGCAAATTACCAATCTTGAATTTATTTTTCAATATCAAGAGAATAATCTTGGAAATTATATGACTATATTTAATACTTCTAATTTCTTAAAAGATTTTCTGACAATGCACACAAAAACATATGCAGGAATCAGAATCACGTTCTTTACTCCACCACATGAGAGTCTCAAATTCAGGAGCCAGTCTTGCTTTTGCTTTTGCAGAGGGACTGGGAGTAATCAAGAGCAATATATCCATTGCTAGAATGTGAGAGACAGGTAAATCAAGTGTTTACAGAGATATTTATCATTTTTCCTGAGTGCCTGTGAAAAGGACCAGGTGGAACCTGGCCAGATGCTCCTGTTTTGGAGAAGCAAGATGCTACCCCAACAGTCACTGAGTGGTAGAATAAAGAAAAACCTGGAGGAGTCCTCAGAAGCAAACAAATATTCCAATACTGGGGATTTAATTTATTTTTTTTTATATATGTTGGCTTGATGATTATCAGCAAGATTCTATTCTTATATGAACATGTTAATGTGTGTTGAACACATGAGAAAAATATGCTAAGCAATAAAAAAATCTGTAATGGAAATTGAAAGGGTTTTTTACAGGAAATTAGGCCACAAAAAGAAAAAGAAGGGAAAATTAACACATAATATTGCTTGGCTGGAGTAATTTTGGCAATATCTATCCAAATAGGCTCAGCACAGTGTTTATTATCTATTCACTTGCATGGCACTTACTAACATAACAATATATGGCTTAACTTGAGGCAAAACCAATTTCCATATATAAAGAGCTAATAGCTTCCTAACCTCCAGATGATATGAAACAGGAAAGACAAAGAAGACTGGCATAATCTATACCGACAGGCACATCTGGAAACACAGGGACCTACTCAGAACTTTGTATCTATGGACAGTCCTGAGCTGACATGAAAAATTAAAGCCTGCCATGAAAACGCAGGACTGAAGCTCCCTCAGGCCTTGGCCTAGAGTAGGAAGGACTGCTCTACAAGCAAGACTAAGTATTTTCAAATGTTTTATTCTTGCAAGTACTGATGCATCAGTGACACTACACTCTCCTTACCTTGGGGAATATTACTGACATTGCAAATAAAGCTGCATAGTCAGAGTTTATCCCACAGCATTCTTAGTCCTATTCATGGAGGAATGAAAACCCAGCTGAAAGAAAACAGAAGCTCTAACCTTAGAAGAGAAATAGCAGTGTTGCATTGTATCTGTTTGTTTGCCAAACTGCATAATACAGTAAAGGTTAAAATCTGAAAAAAAAAAAAAAAAAAAAAACTAACTGATATGGTTCTTATTATTCATATTACCATCATGTTCCTTATTCTTACTCATTTTATAGTTACCGAAAACTGGCAACCACTATATAACTGTCTGAAGAAACCATCATAAAGGAGCAAAACATGACCTGCCAAAACAGAGGGAAAGCAAACCTGCAGTGCAAGTGAACCCAGGCATTATAGCAAACTATATGGATATACATATTCACCTGCATCTGTATTACACATGCCTATATACTCAAGCATTCATATTATCTAATTAAAAATCTACTGCAGAATGCTGTGATAAAACAAAGTTACTGAAAATCTTTGACAACCTCATCGGACCGCTACATCCATCCACGGTGGCATAACTTTTAACACATTGCAAGAACCTCACGGCAAAGTAAAATACCATTTTTCCAACTCGCTATGAAGAATGCATGGGTTCTTTTTTCTGTGTCTCATAACAGTCATTACTCTAATCAGCGGAGACAAAATTATTTAGTTTTTCTATTTTGATTATGCTTGGAAGTGTTACCTAAACTGGTTAGTGGATCTTTTCCCTCTTCTGATCCAAAGTACTTGTTAACTATTGCTTTTGCTGAGTTTTAAGATTTTTTTTTCACTTTCACTTTAAATGTTTCAAAGCTTTTTGAAAAGGATTTCTTTTCCTATGGTCTGTTTCAGTTTTGAGGAATGTACCGGACTACTGTCAGAGACCACAGTCTGATAAAAGAGGACTGCGCTTACCTTGTCATTTGGCATGCCTTATGCTCCTCCTTTTTAGCAGTTCCCATATAACTCATTAAATTCCTAATAGGTTCTTGAACATTTACAAGTAGTTTACGGGTATGTTACACATCAAGAGAGTCAGAATGTGTTGCATATTGTTATTATTCTATGAATTTCACCCTTTGACTTTGGAATACAACAGAAATGGTTTAATTTTCCAAGAATTAAGTCCAAAGAGTAACCAACACTATTCAGGTCTTCTCTTTTCTATTTTTTATATTCTTCTCCTTACAAGCAACAGTTTACTCAGTAATCAATTTAGTACTTTTTGGATGGGTTATTGATAATCATTTGGAGTCTGTAGATAATGAAACTTATAATGACAATGATAATAGCAACACAATGGCAATAATAATATAATTTCTAAAGTGCACAGCGCCTCATGTAAGTGATGCTCTGATATCTATGAATGACCATTACTAAGTAAAAGAAACAGCAGTTTCTGGAACATCTGTCACTGACAGCATGCCAAGTCTAGGTAGGACCATGTAAGATTTAAGTAGTATTAACAGATAAGGCAGAGAGCTGAAGAGCCTTCTGAGAATTCTCAATTACTTCAGTACTGACATACTCAGTACTGCTCACCTGGACGGATGGAGGCAAATGTATTTCCAATACTAAAGACTTTTGTTCCAGTTTATAGTAGAGATACCACAGAATTTTAGAATAAAGGAGACCAAATGTATTAGCATAGCAGCAAAGAAATCCAAACTATGAAACAAATTCAAAGACGAGATGGGGAGAGAAAAATTATTAGCTCATTTGAGTTCTTTCCTCTCCATCTGTTGCTTTCCTTTGTTCTCTTTCCACGATCTGTTAAGGGATTGTATCTTTAGAAATTCTGCCATCATTTTACTTTTCATTTAGTCAAACAAAAAAGGTAATAGCATACAATTTAATTGACCTCTCATTTTCCTTGCAGGCAGAGGGAGAAAATATTGGTCCTGAAAGTGGAATTTTTCCTTGCATATATAGCTGTATTGTGAAAGTGACTGTTAAAATAATTTTTTTACGTTGAAAGACATCAAGAGATATGTGAAGAGAACCAAAACACATGCAAGAATTAATTCTTACCATTAGTACAGCATCTTGCTTTTTGCTGTTTAATGCTATTCTGTTGACACCATATGTATGAGGTCTTAAGACTTTCAAATCACTCAGCATTAGCTGCCTTCTCCGTACAAGAAGCTCTCCCCTTAATTTTAGTGGGAAGAATCAAGATAGCAAGGAGTACTTTTGGTAAGTACATACATTTCACAAATCATCAGCTGTGCATTTAAAAACCACACATGCACATGTACCTTAAGGTCCTGGAAACAGGAAGAAAGAGGTTGTAACCTTCTAGTGAAACAGATAGACATGTCAGATATTTAGCACATATACAAGTTATATTCTTTCTATAACAGTGTATGAACCCACAAGCCACAGCAACACTGAAAGCCCTTTCCTTCACTGGCTTGGACATCAGAGCGGAATAATCTCTAGGTGAATCTTACTAACGTGAGACCTTGCTTTTGAAATAACAACACTACAACCTCCTCCACAGGTGACTGTATCCTAAATAGAAGTTGAAAACAACACAGAAAAAGAGCAATGTTTATAAGCCTAAACAGTTAGGTGACAGTCTGGAAAAGGTGTGCAATTACGTCAGATTACAGTGTGCAACTGCACATACGAAGCCTGTTCTCGACGCAAGAGAGAGCAGCCCTGCTTGTGTTCCTTTCTCAGAGCCAGTAAGACCCACTGCCTGACACAAAATCTTTCCGATGCATCCTAAACCTTGGAGTCCAGTTTCCTCCCTAAGCACCATAACTCTTCAGTGACTCAGGCCTTGTTTCTCTGTCCATTTGTTCATCTG